AACACAGCATCATATGCACGTGACTCTTCGCCATGAAACTCCTGGGCCACTCCGCGTGAGCCACCCTGCCCAACGGACACTTCAACCGCCGTCCGGATACGGTTTCCAACATAAGGTGCATGTACACCAAAACAAGGTATGTGACCTAATGCCTTGATCGTCATTTCGGAGGAATTCATTGGCATTTATGTGGCCTTAGATTGTGTCCATGTTAAAGACATCAGAAAAATGTAAATATCGCACTCTGCGTGATTACAGTTCCCAAAATTAAAGGGGGAAAATGAACATAACTAACGTGCATAAAGCAAGTGAAAAAAACTATTTAATCACTAAACATGCCACGGGCGTACGGTCTCGAAAATCAGTTGGTCGGGCTCTGAGCATTTTTCTGCTGACGTTATGATTACGGGACGCCATTTACCCATTTTCTTGAAAACATCCCGAAGCAGATGACACTTAGCGCGGAAGCGGCTCGGTGCTGTAAGTGTGGCTAGAACATTCCATGTTCCGTACTTCTTGAAGCTAGATAATGTTTTGCACAAAAGGAAACTAAACATTTGAATGCATTTGATGTGCGTCAGGACACACCAACTGATTAGACGATGACCTTCTCGTATGTAAACCGGTCACAAACGCCTAAAAATTGTGAGAGTGTTCGTGAAGTTGGAAATCAGTACCTGAATCGACAGTGGAGGTGTATACGACTTGTCGACATGATGATAAAATTGAAGTACCACGACACCGCCTCTGACGCAAAAAATAGTGGAAGCGAGACTGGAAACTGTGCAATCAGCTTTATGCGGTATACTGGCGAGTTTGGCCCCTACTTAGTTGCGGTTGATGACTTGAAATTGATCTGTTTGTTTTATCACAAAAGCTAGTAGCCTCGAGTCAGACAATTTTAAAGAGGTACATGAATCGTAAGCTTGAATATACCGACATAGTTCTGTCTGATATTTATAAGAGCGCAAGCAATTTACCGTTTAGTACGCCTTTGAACCAACTGTGATGAACAAAATGCATTTTTTAGAAAATCGCCATTCACTAGGCCAAGATTGATGAAACCAACTTAATTTAGATTACAAAATTATCTATGAGCAGCATCATATTATCGACACTCGATGCACTAGCAAGGCGCATGTGAGTGTAATTGCTGGAGAATGCTCACCCTGTCAGTAAAAGCGCAGTACGCTAACATTATTAACCTTTTTTGTCACATGACAGGTCCACAATCTTTCTACCGTACTTATCTTCGAGGTCTCACAATGTAGGAGGAAGATTGTTTTCTTCTCCAACAAAAAATACTCACTACAACATAGTATGCATAAAACCGTTGCTAAGCTTTTTCAAATGTCTACATGATACCGTGCGTGTCAATCATGACTTCTTTTCTAGGACTATCACCCTCGGATAAAAGAAATTCGACGTCGAGCCGCGATTGCTCAGCAAGGTCACTAGGCGATGTCCGCACGGCAAGGTCATTAAGTGACGAATATTCGGGTGGTGACATGAGGTACAGCACAGTCTTGTAGTCACCCGCGATCGGAAGCAGCGCATCTGCAAAGTCAATGTCACACATGTATTTGATTACCCGCATATTGGAAGCGAAAAAAAACGTGTCGCGTATTGGGTAACAAATTTCCTGGCCTAGCAGCATGTTGAACAGCAGTTTATCGCCTAAAATGTGAGGAAAAAGATGCTCAATTGTTTTTTGTGAAACGCGCACGCGAAGATTCGCTTTAGTCGTCACTGCTAGCGTGTCTTCTGTGTCCACGACGTTAATGTCTACGAGCTGGAAGTCAAGCGAGTCATGCCACGCAGCCCAGGCTGTCCAGCCATTAAGCAACGTTTGTGCGCCAAGCACGAAGCGGCCACACCAGTCAAACACTTCTACGTACGGATCCATGATACAATAAAGAAACTCACACTGAGCTTCAGGCGTCAGTTGACACGCTGCTGCTAAATGGCGTTTCTTGCCAGAAGAAAGCTTTTCCTCAGTTGGTATGGGCATACCGTGTCGGAATACGGTCATGTACTCGCGCACGATCTTCGCAAGAGACCCAGAGACTGATCCACGGGCACAAAGACTCTGCTCACAGCGCAAGTTGTGCAGAACTGTCAGGTCACAAACTTCTTTTCGCAAGGCGCGTACAGCAGCCTCGAGACTTCGCGAATAGTGCTTTTGGCGCTCTCGACACTGACGACTCCGTTCCGTGGAGAGAACGCGGACTTTGCTACTTTTCTTGTCTATGGAATGCTGTGGTCCCATCTTGATGACTTGAATCTCGTCTTTGCTGCTGCTATGAGGCATCACCGCGATTCTTTCTGTCTTAGATGGAAAGCTATTATGAATATTAAGCAGCTGGTGAGCAACTGGTAAATTGACGCTGCAACTATAGCATAAGCCAGTTGCGATTGCTCTCGCAGGTTTTTTACTCCGTTCTGTTCGAGTGGTCTGTTTTCGCCGTTGCTTTCCGTGTTTGATTTACTTACCGCTGACACGAATGAGCAACATGCGGGACACTTTTCTGCCGTAAGCAATTGACTGCAAGACGGGACAAAAGCCTTGAGGCTATGGCATAAACGTGTTGATTTAAAGCTACGTTTTATTATGCTATCTTGGTCTCGTGATAAGACTGCCGGACCAGATCGTCTGGTCCGTATATTGATTCTAAAAGTTAATGAATTCCAATTTATCCGTATTTTGATTCGTTGATCCTTAAGTATAATTAAGGCTCCGAAAAATTCCTGGAATTACAGTCAGGCTATAAATATGATGATCACACGATGCCACAAAATAGTCATCATCGATGCGCAACTGCCAGGTTATATTAATACTACACATTCTTGGTACGCAACTGAAACGCATACAGCTCAGACCTTGTCAGCCACAAAGCAACTAATAAATCTCTACTGCAGATGGTGCATATTCTATTTTTATTACTTGCTTGAAAACGGCTCGATTAGAACTTGTAAGGTCTCTAATTAGGGATGTACTGAGCGAACTAAATTGATGGAGTCCACACACACTTTTTCATATATATACTAATCGGCCAGTAATTTTCATGTTGACTCGTTGATATGTCGAATCTTGTGAATCTGCTTTTCACACATCATACATGGCTCTTCCCCGTACGTATGATATACAGCAAGAATTCAGAACAAAAGCATTTTTATTTTCATGCAGATTTTACCAATCAGGCGCTAAGCAAACGTTTGGGTTGTGGATGTTGCATGTAAGGGCGGGCATACCTACAACGGATGGATGTTGACTCGACACAAACTTAGCTAATTTTTACGTTATTCAATTTGATCGCAGTAAATAAAATCTATGTTTATTGTGTGCCCCGACCGAGATTATCGTATCGCATGCTTGGAAAGGCTTGTAAGCGATGTAGACGAGACTTTAACGGGTGTAAGCGGCGAGCGTACATTTAATTGTTGTTACCTTGTTTCCTCCAGCGAATGATATTACTTATCGATGCAAATTGACTATATCAATTTGCAGGCTATGTTGTGAGTTGTGAAACAACGTCCAGTCTTGAAATACAATGGAGTCTGTCGCCTCGATTGTCAAAGTATCAATGAAATCATTGAAGGCACGTTTTCTGTATAACACTCTCTTTTTCATAATACTTGTCCTCTACAAATTTTTAGATTGCTTTCCCCTAGTTTTAAAATAGTTGAATGGAGGTGATTAGTTTAAAACGAGTAAGTGCAGTCAGTCAGTGCGCTGCAAAAAGACTTCACTACCCTAGACACTAGGATGTCCCTTAAGGGCACAATTAAGACATTCGGCATGTGTGCGAGCTTGTATGTGTTCTCACCAATATGGCCACTGCAGAGATAGAAATTAATTCTTATATTACGGCTTTCAATAAGCATCATCACAGCTCAAAAACGTTGCGAGAACAGTGCTGCTGCTGTCGGGAATTGATCGCTTTGAACGAGCTCGAGTAACATTACTTCACATTGGAGCTGTACTTCAGATACGAGAGAGGATATATGCTCAGCACAATATTGGCAAATCCAGATTCAAGAGGATATTACGATAAGGTATTCCAGATTAGTATATCATCAGGAAAGCAGTTGTTTTCAACATAAATGTCGGTCTCAGTAGTTGTTCACTTCCGGGTGACAAGAATGAGAAAATAAGAATAGACTAAGAAGATATTGAAAACTGAGAAATCCAATTGTGCACCCCCAGGAGGAAGGTAAGGAGGGGTTGTCTGTATCGTCCGTTTTGATTCGTGAAACTCAACGACCCGCTGTTTTATCCAGCACTTTACCCTATCCATCATCAATTAGCTACCTGACCGCTGAATTTTCCCAAAGTCATTGTGTGTACTCCATCATTCCATGTACTTTCAGTAGCCGAATATCTTTGTATCTCTACTTAAGTAGCCAATAACAAATCAGAAAGAGTATAAACGACTATATTGATGGTGATGATCAGAAATCAAATAGATAGTAAATTCACAAACACCAACACTTCAGTCGAGTACATTGGAAGAATGACAGCTTATCTTCAAAAGCAAATAAGTGAAGTTACACTAGTGATTTTGAATAATGAGCGATGTCCGCAAAGAAGCTGATAACAAATGCAGAGAATCTGTTAAAGCTCGTAGATTGTACTAATCAGAGGCGAATTAGCTATCACAAGTAAATCAATCCTATATATTTATCTATTGGATTCTGTTTTAATGACCCCTGTGCTTGCAATGGTCTTCTCATTGCAAGCACAGGGGTCACATTACCATTAGTGACAGAAATCTTATCCACTTTGCTCGTGTAACAGTAAAACTCGTAGTCGTGAGAGATGTCGAAGCTCTGAGTAGATCGATAATAGCAGCAAAGTTGCGAATCGAAGAACCGGGGTGAAGAGTTAAGAGGCAGAATCGAGAATGCTCTCTTTCTGCTGAACAGCAGCGAAAGAAAAATGACCGGTCTATTCAGCAGAGGCAAAGGATTACATTTATGGCATTTTTGACAAAACCCAAAAGCTGAAGGTCAAACTTAGCTTTTAACAGGGTACTCTGCTTCCTAGTTCCAGCTCGTTGGTGAGAATCATTGCGCATAACAGTCATCAATTCGAACTTTCTTTTTTCCACGGGATATTAGTCTTAGGTCTCTTGAGATAAATGAAACAGACATCCAGTCGATTGACATGCAACTCCAGTCAATCGTTGGATTGACAATAGCATGCTCAATCCAGCAGAAGTAGCAAGAACGCCAGCCATTGAATTGCTAGTTGAGGTACAGCAACAACCACTAGGCAAACATTTTCAATTGCAAGTGTAGTTCTCATTAGAGATGTACTTCAAAAAGCATCGACGGCAACAGTTAACTAATGTGAAAAACGCTGACGAACTGAGAGCTAGCCATGGGATTTAGCTTCTAAAAAATCGGGTGAGCTCAATTTCGAGTTCCACGTTCTGAAAATAGTTTTTGCGGTCAACGGATATGGCACAAACAGTTTGTTTAGCCATTGTAAAAAGGCTATGGTTGCTGATCCAATCAAAAATTTAGCAATGTCTAATTGCTCGCAGAAAGTAAATTAGATACGAGAACGCTGACTGGCTAACGCTTCTTAAGAACACCTTGTCAACTTGATCGTCGAGAGAAATTCATTACAACTCGCAAGTTGCCTCTGTGCACCGTACATAAATCTTTGACGTGGCGTCACACCTTAACACCCCCTCAACTTTCACATCGTCGATCCCGCTCTTTCGATATAACAGCAGCAGGCGTGGCGTCGACAACGCCTTAGTTAAGAAGTCGACCAAGTGATCCAACATGGAATCTGCTGTCACAATAAGGCTACTGAAAGATGTAATGTGTACAAATTAGTATGTACATATATCGTTTCTTGAGGTGTAATGGCGCCTCGTCATTGATTTGTGTACGGTGCACAAAGGCAACTTGCAATTTGAAATGAAATCTCCTCGAGAATCAAGTTTGCAAGGTGTTCTAGAGCAGTTAGGAGTTCTGGTTACAGTGCTGGCCAAAAATATGTAGCCAAGACTATTTCTCAACTTTTTACGTCAATTTTTAAGCGAAATACCCTAAAACCGTGTAGAAACGCTGTTGAGACAAAGCACTTTAGGAGCATATCTTTTTTTTTCACAGACGATTTG